CAACAGGGGGCCGAGCCGTGGGAGGGGGGTGGGAGGAGAGGCAGGGGACGTGCACGTATAACAGCCTTTTGAGGGTCAGCTTATCCTAGTGGGAACGTTGCCTTGCTCCCTTGCCGAAACCCGCCCGCCTTCCCCTCCCTTCCCTCCTCCCCCAGGCCGCTCCCCCCAGGACCTGGCGCGTGGCCTGGGGGAGCGTGACCTGCGGTCACTGAGCCGCGAGCTCAAGGGCGTGAGGGTGCTGGTGGACCGCCCCGGGGGCAAGAAGATGCGCAAGACAATCTGGGGCCTCTCCAAGGCAAGAGCCGGAAGATTGGCGCCTTGTCACGCGTCTTTGGGGTCGCATGATGCAGCCAGTCGTCACTGTAGCAGGTTGGCAGCCGCGGTTGGCGGGCCCGACAACATCTCCCCACAGGACACCCGGGCCATGCGCCTTCACGCATGCCCACTAATATGCTCTGCCGTGAAACCACGCATGCGCACACGGTGGGGGTGTCCCTTGTTCTTCGCAACACACGTACACGCGCCCACTTGCACACATGCGCGTGCGCGCACATGGTCTGCACACGCAAGTAAACGAGCTCGCACACTGACCCATATCCGTTAGATGGGTGCCGACAAGACGATGTTCTACTACGAACCGGAGAAGAGGGAGGTGAGGGTTGTGAGCGCCAGGATGGGGCCCGACAAGTATCAATCCGGATTGGCTGGCACTGTCCAGGCTATTTCGGGTTGAGGATTCAGTGTGTTGGTTTCAGCCAGCAACTAGCAGCTCTTCCTGCCTCAGATCAAAGTAAAGTCCGGTTGACCACAGTCCACACCATCTTCAAACCACACCCTCCCTCACCCCTCCCTCTCTCGTGCGCCACCATCCTCTGCCTGCAGATCAGCGTGGCGCAGTACTTCCAGGTGAGATTGTACGTATGGTTGTGGGATTGGCAGATCATTCAGCTGAACTCTCTGCAAGATGTATCAGCTGGGTGCTTGATGACATTTTGTGGCCCTCCAAGCACCTTCATATGCTGAGCCCTGAGCGTGGCTGTGTGAGGATGCAGCACAACCATTGTCCCCGCTGCCCTTCCCTTTGAGCCGTATCCATTCCTCCCTCCCCAGGTGGCCTACAAGATCGCGCTCAAGCTGCCACGGCTGCCATGTGTCAACACCTCCAAGGACGTGACCAAGCTCGTGTGGCTGCCCATCGAGTTTTGCCAGTGAGGGACAGGGGCCCGGGTGGCTTGGGTTTCAAAACAAGGACGAGCCCAGGGCGGGCAAGGCAAGCAGGTTGTGGCCCGGCACTCGGGGGGAGTCACGCACACGGGTGGTGCTGTTCTTTGAAGTGTTCAGGTGCTATGGTGTCAGGGTGCTTGCAACACCATGCCTGCGAGGCAATCGCCCTAACCCTGCATGCGTCCTGACACGTGTTGTCTTGGCCGCTCCCTGCCTGTGCCAGCATCCTGCCGGGGCAGCGCAAGCGCATGCTGCAGGACGAGCGCCACACCACCGCCATGCTGCGCTTCGCCGGCCTCAAGCCCCATGAGCGTGCCCGCTACCTGAAGGGTGCGCGGGTGAAAGAGGATGGTGGGGCTGGGATTACTGATTATTCTGGCACTAACGCGGCTTCAAGGCAAGCATGGTGCGGGCTCACAAAACGGTAGCTGGACAAAGCTCGCAAAATGAAGCAGCTGGGGCGACCATCCCCATCCCCTCCGCACCCCTCCTCCCCTCCTCCCCTTGGCTCATCCTGATCCAGACGTGGTGTCCAACCCGCGCCTGGCCAACTTCAACGCCGAACCAGCAGTGCAGCGGTTTGGCATGCAGGTGTGCCCCTGCCGTGCGCACCCAGACAAAAAAGCAAGCCGCGTGGGGTGCAGGAGGGCAACCGCACAGGGCGACGGCACACTGGAATATCTTGCGTGTTTGCGTTGCGATGCTGTATTTACCGCGAGCGTCAGCTGAATCTATGGCTGCAATCAGCAAATCGTCTCCTGCCTCACCACACGACTCCCTCCCCCTCCACTCCCCAGATCGCACAGGACATGGTCAACGTGCAGGGCCGCATCCTGGACCCACCCAAGGTGAAGGGGCAGAGGCCCCTCGTGACTGGACGTGCCCCGCGCAGCCGCCCAGGGGGCTTCATGACACCGGCTGTCGGGGTGGTGGGGGACGCTCGTCTTCAAGGGATGTCAAGCTGACGTTGCACCACCCAACCCTGCGTGGCCCGCGCCTTCGCACTCACCTCTTCAGCTGGCCTACGGCAAGCCTGAGGCCCTGGACCCTGGGACCCAGGGGGCCTGGAACCTTCGGCAGGTGAGAGGGGGCCAGGAGGTGGGGGTGGAAGAAGGGGTGCGTTGGGACCATTGAAGGCGGCAAGGCTGGCTTGGCAAGATGCCACACTCAGGCTAGTGATCAGATGACGTTCGTCGTGTGCGCCTAGGTCGCCACGCACCGCCCCAGTATTTAAGGTCCGTTTGACCTTGCAACAATGTTTCAATACATTCGCCCTTATCACCGTCATCCATCCGCCTCCTGCCCCCATGCTGCTTCCCTGCTTTACAGGTCGAGTTTCCTGTCGCCGCCCCCCTGTCGTCGTGGGCGTGTGTAAGCCTCATGGACCAGTCGGAGGTGGACCTGCAGGTGGGGGGGTGGGTGGCAGGGGCGCAGGCCAGGGGGGAATAATTTGGATGGCTGGCGGACCATTGGCTCGCGCCTGGGCAGCCAGGCAAGAGGCAATTCTGGAAACAGCCGTGGTTGCGTGGAGGCCTCCCAGTGAGGAGCATGCACCCCTTTGCACCGTTGCGGCCCGACCTGACCCGCCCCTCATAGCAAAAGTGTGCGTGGCTCCACCACACACCACGACCCGCATCACCCTCCGTGACCGCCTGCCTTGTGCTGCAGGAGGGCCACCCCCAGTCCCTCAAGACGTTTGTGGCGGAGCTGGTCAGCATGTGCAACAGCTGCGGCATGAAGACCGTGGTGCCCCCCATCATCCACTTTGACCACTCCTACAGCGTGGGCGAGCACATCAGCTATGCAGTAGAGGAGGCACAGAACACCTTCAAGGCGAAGTGAGTGTGTGGGGGTGGGGGGGGGGGGCTTGGGATCAGCTGGCTGCAGCGGTGAAAAGCTTGGATATGCTGGGCAAGTGCGGCTTCAGTTTTGCTGGACGACAACATCGGAGTGGGAATGAGCGATTGTCTCTCAAGGCCAAGCCGCAGCACATGCGGTGTATGAATCACACACACCATGTTGATACCGCTCCCCCCTCTGCCACTGTGGCACGGCAGGTGCAAGCTGGTGCTGGTGCTGCTGCCGAGCAAGGGCAAGGTGCGGGATGGCCGGTACAAGCAAGAAACAATTGGCTTCCGGCCACCAGCTGCGTGCTGATGCAAAGCCGCGGCCAGTGATCCAGTTGACTGTCTCTTGCTGCCGCAGCAGTCGCCACTCTTTACTTCACGTCTTGCCCTGGGCTCCTGGCTTGAGGCTCACGCACCACATGGTGGTTTGCGCTGATCCTCCCTCCATGCCTCCCCTGCCGCCCCTACCTCACCTTCTCCCCTCCACCGCCCCCCCCCCCTGTCTCCCCCAGGACACCTACCAGGCCGTCAAGCAGGCCTCCGACAGCGAGTGCTCGGTGCCAACACAGTGCTTCGTGGCGCAGAAGGCCGGCGTGGGCCGCAGCAGCCCTCCTGCCAAGGGCCGGCTGCAGTGTGAGCGGCGGCTGATGGCTGAAAACCTGCTGCAGATGTTGCACATGGTCGTACTTGCATCAGAATGACCAGCGCCACACACGTCGGCTCGACAGCGTCCGCCAAGGACGGCCCTCATCACACGGCCCCCATCACACGGCCACTTCCCACAGTCAACTCCCCCCCCCCCCC